GCCGTCTGGGCCTGCTCGGCCTGCTCGTTCCGTCCGGCCTGCTCGTCCTGCTCAGGCCTGCACGTCCCGTCCGGCCTGCACGTCCTGTCTGGCCTGCTCGTCCTGGACGTTGTTGCCGTCATGGACGGCCCCCTGAACTACGCCGGTGCCTCCCGCCCGGCCGGCCTCCTGACCTGCTCCGTCGCCGCCGGTGCCTCCCGCCTGCCCGGCCCCCTGAACTGTTTTCTGGGCTTTTGGGCCGTCAGCCTCTGGGCCGCCCACCTGACCTGCCCGGGTTTGGACTGTTGTGCCTCAGCCTCCAGGCCGGCCCCCTGAACTTTTTGTGAACAATTTTTCCTGGCCGCCTGCCCTTGTCGTGAGCCTGTTTTTTGTTCTGTTGCATTCCGGGCTCCGGTGTTTGCACTTTTTTTTTTGTTTGTTTCTGGCCCCTTGTTTGGGAGCCAGCCCTTTAGGAGGGGGTGTTGTTAGGATGCCTGGGTCGTTGACCCAGGGTATTTGAGTTTATTATATTATTTATAATTTCTAGTTTTTGGTTTCTTTGAGTTCTGTCTTATGGTTTATGTCTCTGTCTTCTCTAGTTGCTCTGTCTCCCCTGTCAGCTGTATCCCTTGTCTAGTTCATGTCTCTGTGTATCCTTAGTTGCTATATCCCCGTGTCCAGTCAGTGTCTGTGTCTGCCCTGGTCCCACGTCTCTGTTCCCTCTGTTGTAGTGCCTGCATGTGAGTCTGTGTCTTTTGTTCAGTCTGTGTTATAGGTTTCCTGTTTTACTTTGAAAGTCCATGTCTGATGTTAATGTGTCTGGTTTGCTTCCCCTTGTCTCGTTAGGCCTGATTTTCCCCAGCTGTGTTTCCCTCCTGTTACCCATTCCCTGATTTCTTCCTCTGTGTATTTAAGCCCTGTGTTTCTCTGTGTCGCGATCTACCATTTATTTGGCTGTGTGTTCTGTCAGTCCTCTGGTTTAAGTTTATTTTGATTTTTTTTTCCCAGTTATGTTATATTTTGAGTTTTACATTAAAGCTGTTTTGAGTTCACGACTGTCTCCGGAGTCTGCACCTTGGGTCCTATTCCTGTCTGCACACAGCCACACATAACAACCTAGGGTGTATTTGTTTCCAGGGTTATTGGGGGGGGCTGTCTCTTTTCGGCTCTTTACGGCCACTGGCATTTTAGTTGTTGTTGTGTTTTGTTTATTTATTCTTCTTTATGAATGGCTAATGGCAATATACACCCCAGCATTGTTGGGTCAAGCATAGGGATGGGTACCGGTATCCGGTGCCATAATGGCACCGGTTCTGGCATAAACAGTAGTAACCAGACCAAAAAGCAGCGCACATTTCGGTGCTTTTTTTTTTTCCTGAGATGTCATACACTTTGGATTCCAGCCAATCATTCTACGTTTGTGAGCGTAGTAGGTGGGCCCAGGTACGTACGTTCTTTTAGAGCAGAGCTACAGATTAAAAATGCCCAAAGCCGAAGCGGTCAAAGTCTGGCTGTACTTCACAGCAAAAGATGCAAACTCAGCAGCCTGCAACAAGTGCTTTAAGGTGATACTGTGCAAAGGAGGTAACTCCTCGAATCTGATGAAACACCTGGCGACGTATAGCATTTTGTTAAAAGCTGAGAAATGCGCCATATTTGATAGCTTGCAGCGAGACCTCACACCATGCACATCTACTGCGGGTGGGTTGCCTGTTATCTGACCCGGAGTTAGCAACATCCCCCAAAAACACGAAGAGTAGAGTCCTGGCCCCTAGCCCTGCCAGTGTAGCAGAAATGATGACGGATGATGATGGCAGCAGCAGCAGTTATTCTCTGCGTGAGTAGCTTAATGTTGTTCGTGTGTAATTTACGTTGAGTAGGCTAACCTCGTTATTAAATTATTGCATGTAAGGTGAACTAGCAAACATCATCATAGCTACATGCGGCTGTCCTCTTGTTTGATGGCAAATGCTCCCTTCACCCTGGCCAAAAAGGCTAAAATGACCAAAGAAAAAGTGGAAAACAGCTAAATATGAGAGGTTTTTGGACAAAGTTTATTTTTTCCATTGTTTAAGCACTGCTTCCAGCCAAGAGTGATGCCACATATCCCCTATAGCTGCAGAAAAGGTTAACATTGTTATCTTTTTACAAAAAAAAAGCAGCTGAACATGAGAGGTTTTTGGACCAATTTTGTGTTCTCCATTCTTTAAGCACCGGCACCGTTTCAAAAGTACCGGTTTGGTACTGGTATCGGATAAAACCTAAACGATACCCATCCCTAGTTAAGCATGCCTCTTAGATTTATTAGTTGGAATATTAGAGGTATGGGTAACCCTGTTAAGTGATCTAAGGTTTTCACTCACTTGAAACATCAAAATTCTGATATAGCATTTTTACAGGAGACTCATCTTCGCATTAAAGATCGTTATAGGTTATATTGCCCTTGGGTGGGTCAGCTCTTTCACTCAAATTTTAATTGAAAAGCTAGAGGAGTGGCCATTCTCATTAATAAGAAAGTTCAATTCTCTTTGTTATCACTGATAGGAATGGTAGATACATCATTGTTGCTGGTACTCTAATGCAGAAAAAGATTTTGTTGGTAAATGTATATGCCCCGAATTTTGATGATGCTGAACTTGCTAATACATTGCTGAGTAACATCCCCTTTTTGAATACTCATTTTGTTAGGTCTGTGTTTCCACAAGCCCCGCTGGTTCAGAAACTTATTCTCGTTAACGACAAAAGCAAGACGAACATCTTTTACTAGCTAGCAAGGGAGGCCCCAGCCGGTGTCTCAGAAAGCACTCTGAATCCTACCGCAATAACCCCAACGACGGCCTCGCTTGCTGCCTTTTATTGGGAAAACAGTTCACACAATACACGTCACAGCAAAGCAACGCCCACCATAAAACCCCCCAAATGGTTCTAAGACAAGGCACTATGTGTGTGTATGTGTAAACATCTGTATGCATGTGAGAATGTGTGTGTGTATGTGAGAATGTGTGTGTGTGTGTGAGAATGTGTGTGTGTGGAACAACATTTAGTATGATGATCTGGGAACAACACCAGCACGACGATATCAGATCGTGCATTCCGTTACTCCCCAACACTGGCTATGGTTTGAAAATACACCCCACCCCTAACGGCTGCACCTCCCGAAAAATTTTGTCAGGGCTCTTATCTCACTTCTTTATTTCAAACAATCAACAGAAAATTTCACAGTTATATTTTTATATAAGGTTTTTAAGGCGTTGGTGTTAATTTTTCAGTAACATGAGCCCAGCGGCAGCAGCAACGCTAGGCTAACACTAACAAGCTAGCAAGATTATAAACCTGGTGCTAAACTAAGAGAAGCCAAAAAATCTGTTTGAATAAGAGTAAACATTTACTCACCAAGTCAGTGTATCAGGTAAAGATCCACAGCAGTGACAACAATAATATCTTGAGCTGAAGCTTCTCCAGGTTTGCTCAACATATTCCAGAAAAAAATGCTGGCACCATGAACATACGGACTGATCCATGATAGGGAGGAGGACGGTAGTGACGGGGCATTTTCAAAAAACATCTTTCATCCTTCCGCATTGAGAAGCAAAACTTCCAGCTTACTTAGTTTTTCTAAGTTAAGACAACTCAAATAAATTGAGTTGATCAGTGTTTTTGCATAAAAAGTACTGGTAACTTACTTAAATTGAGTTCTAATAACAAATTGATTAAAAATTGACTTCAGCCTACTTAATATTTTTAATTAAACACAATATTAGATTTTACAGTAATTACACAGTTATTACTAATTAGTTATTATTTAATTATGTCAATCACATACAACAAATAAACAGGCCACCTTCCCATTGTCTGAAGGGTGTTTTTATGGTGGTAATGCTGTGAGCTGGTTCCCTCAGATAAGGTTTGGGGGTAACTCAGAGCTGGCAAACCACAGTTTATGGAAAAATTATGATGGGTTATCCAATTTTGAAGTCACCAACTGCTTTACTTAGACTAACATAATTCTTGACTTGGACTATCCCACCTTAAGAAGTCCTTATATTCTCCTAACAAATTCCCTATCTGCTTTTTAATAATATTGGCTTAAATTACTTACTTTCATTTACAGTCAATAGTTAAGCAACTATACACAAGAGATTTGTATCCATACATTCATTTCATTTCTGTTTCTCATGTATGGATGGCTGTTTGTATATGTTTGTGACAGTGTATAATTTTGCATCCTTGTATGCACAGGTACATATTTTTGTATATATGTGTGTGTTTTCTGTTTTTCCATCCTTGTTGCATGTCCTTGTCCCGTGCTGTTGTTGCTTTGTAGAAAATAAAAAATTTAAAAAGGATGCAAAATTATGTGCAATTTCAGTATTTGAGTGTGGAGATATTGTGTGTTGTAAAAAAAAAAGAAGCAGCAAGGTCAGGTTAGAAGGTTTTCTTAATGCTATTGTCATCAGTTCGGCTGGAGCCTATCTCCACCGAAATGGAGTACACTGTGGACAGATAGGCACATAAACCTGAATTTAGATTAGATTAGAATTAAACTAGCATTTGTGCGAGGAAGCTGCAGTACCATCACATCACACCAGTAGATGAAAATTCAGCTGTGTTTGTTTGGTGTAATTTGATCCAAATTCAGCCCAAGATCAATGTCTCTTTTGAACATGTATAGGTCTAATACAGCTCTCAAAATATCATGTCACTTACCTCACTGAACTCATTAAAAATGCTGAAAAATGTTGGTTGAAAAATAAAATATGTAGAGGTCGTTTTTTAGACTGAGGTCCATATTCTTTCACCAAAAAAATACTTCTAATTCAATGTGTAAACCTAAAATTAAAAGAGAATTATTAGAATTAGATTTAGTTTTACTTGTATCAAAAATCTATGAAGGGGTCTTAAGAGTGCTATGATAGTATTTCCTAATCAATTTTTTGAAAAGAAAAATTAGAGTAGTTGATTAGAGTAGTATATTTAAAAATCAAGATAGGCAGGGTTTGTTCAATGTCTTTAATTGAAGCTTCTTTAGTTTATCATGATAGACTTGTGAAGAACCTGCTTCAGAAAGAAAAAGGTGATATTAATATTATATTATTTTTATAGGGACAGTTCTTTAAATAATTTTAAATGTGTGTATCAGGATCACTTAGAATTTTTACCATAATTATCCAATACAATACAAACAGAATACATACAATAATAGAATACAATATATACAAGAAATATATTTAAATATTGACTGGTAAAGGTGACCAAAGAGGACATTTTCAGACATCTTATATTTCATGAATGCCAGGTGAGGTGATGATTTCCTGATTATCACTTTCATTTTTTTTCACTCTCAGAGTCAGAAGCTGAGGAGATGCTTCATGGATTAAAACTTGATCTCATTGATATTAATAACTTACAGTATGACTTTATCACAGGACTTACATTATAAATTGACAACCAATGACACCTTTGTTGGAAATTATGTTAAAGTTTATATTGATAGATAACATAAAGGTTAATTTCAGTTTTAGCTACTTCTAAATCATGGTATGATTGCTCTTCATCAGAAGCTCCTCGTGGATTTTCAGTTGGAACAAAGTCCTTTTTCATACCCAGTCACAGGAGACATTTCCTCAAGTTATTTCACAAGAGCATCAGCGCAGATGTTATTGCTGGCCTGACAGGAGCCATGACAGCAGCACCATACAGGAAGCAGTGAGGAGACTGATCTTGTGGCTCACTCCATGTGACACTTTTGTAAATGTTGAGAAAAAGAAAAAAAGGCATTTCTTTCAGAAACTGTTCTGTAATATAGTAATATGTTTGACATGATTGAATTAAATATATCTTACATATGCCGTCCACAAGAATAGAACTGATATCAATGTCGAAGGGTGTTATCTTGGCTGCATCAATCAAAACTTGTGCAATCTCTTTTGCATTAGGGACCAGTGACATTGCAAATCCAATGTCCATGTTATTGATAATGGATCCCTTACTGTGAAAGGAAAAACCGAAAACTTAGTTTTGTTTCCTTTATTTACTTGAAATATTTGTAAAATTATATACCATAAACAATTTACCTGAATGCAGTCACATTGATGGAGCGGAATGAAGGAAATCTGGCCAGGTAGAAAGGTTTAAGCTGCAGAAAAATGAGTAAACACACTGTAAGTATGTATGCTTTGCTTTTTGGGATTGTGCTTCTTTACTCCAATGTCAATTGGGACATATTATTAGGACTATGTAATATCATAGTGCAACATATATACATAATAGTGTTTGGGGGGGTTCTGGTCACCCAGCTACCCATTTCTTGAATGGCTAGCATAATACAGGTTACAGGTCACCTTTATGTTTTATCTTTTTTCTTTAAACACTTGCAAAAGCATGGCAATGAGTTGGAAAAAAATAGAAACACAGTATTTACTGTGGAATTTTAGTTCAGTTTATATCATGGTGGAAATGTTTTTGATATATAGTTTATTGCATATAGTGTATATCATTTTTGTTTATCTCAATTTGTATAATCTTATAAACAATGGAGAAATTGTTGACTTTAGGAGGGGATTCATAAATGTATGGATAGAAAAGATGGCCATACATTTTTTTAATGGTATCAAAATACTGTTATATGACAATATAAGTATATACTCTGCAATTATTCACAATACATACACTTAAGTATTATTTAACTACTAGAAGAAAACTTACTGCTGTCTCTATCAGTGAAGCTCGTTCTTTAAAAGCTGTGGATGATGATGTCAGCAAGTCAGTTATAAATATCCCATTAACAGATCTGAATTGCACTGCCTTTTTTTGTACTGGCTCAGCAGTTGTAGTTGTTACAGCTTTAGTGGTTGTGGGAGTTGCTGTAGTTGCAGTTGCTGCAGTTGTAGTTGCTGCAGTTGTAGTGGTTGTAGGAGTCGCTGTAGTTGTAGTTGTTGCAGTCAAAGTGGTTGTAGGAGTCGCTGTAGTTGTAGTTGTTGCAGTCAAAGTGGTTGTAGGAGTCGCTGTAGTTAAGGAAGTGTTGCTTGAACAAACAGTTCTGGGATATTATGAATTTTAAAATATGAGAATATCAAATATTGCTTACCTGGGTCACTGACAATAACAGACTCTTTGCTAATGTTGAAGGTCGTTATGTTTGAAACTGCATTGATCAAAACATTTTCAATCTCAGTGTTATTAGGCACTGATATAGATGCAAAGTCAATATTAACGTCACTGATGATGGATCCATTTCTGCAAAATAGAAAACATTGTTTACTTGCATTCAGTTATCGCAAATATTTATAACTATCATAAAACATTTGGTATATTGCATCAGTATGTAAAAAATAAATTGCCTGAATCTGATCACTCTCATTGAGCGGAATGAAGGAAATGTTGTCTTGTAGAAAGGTTCGAGCTGCAGAAACACACACAATCACTGATCTTTGAGTGTGTATGCATAAGTGAGTGCAAACATTTAAATATTGCTTGACTTCAACAGCAAAACTTACTGTTAACACTGTCTGTCTGGCTCTTTCTGTAAATGCTGAAGATGATGAGTTCTCTAAGTCAGGTGTAAATGTTGCTCCAACATCTCTGAACTGCAACTGCTTTGTTGTAACAGCCTCAATAGTTGTAGTTGTTACAGTTGTAGTGGTTGTAGGAGTAACTGTGGATGCGTTTGTTGGGGTAGTGATGATTGGTGTTGTAGCATTCACAGGTGTAGTTGAAGCTGTTGTAGACACTGTAGTTGTATTTGTTCCTGGTGTGGTGTTTGTAAGATTTGCTATGGTTGCGTTTGTAGGGGTAGTCATCATTGGTGTTGTAGCATTCACAGGTGTAGTTGAAGCTGTTGTAGACACTGTAGTTGTATTTGTTCCTGGTGTGGTGTTTGTAAGATTTGCTATGGTTGCATTTGTAGGGGTAGTCATCATTGGTGTTGTAGCATTCACAGGTGTAGTTGAAGCTGTTGTAGACACTGTAGTTGTATTTGTTCCTGGTGTGGTGTTTGTAAGATTTGCTATGGTTGCGTTTGTAGGGGTAGTCATCATTGGTGTTGTAGTGCTCACAGTTGTAGGTAAAACCACTGTAAATGCCAAAAAAAATGAAAAGAGGTGTTGCTTGAACAAAACAGTTCTGAGATATTATGAATTAAAAAAATATGATAATATTAAATAGTGCTTACCTGGGTCACTGACAATAACAGACTCTGTGCTAATGTTGAAGGTCGTTATGTTTGAAACTGCATTGATCAAAACATTTTCAATCTCAGTGTTATTAGGCACTGATATAGATGCAAAGTCAATATCAACGTCACTGATGATGGATCCATTTCTGCAAAATAGAAAACATTGTTTACTTGCATTCAGTTATCGCAAATATTTATAACTATCATAAAACATTTGGTATATTGCATCAGTATGTAAAAAATAAATTGCCTGAATCTGATCACTCTCATTGAGCGGAATGAAGGAAATGTCTTGTAGAAAGGTTCGAGCTGCAGAAACACACACAATCACTGATCTTTGAGTGTGTATGCATAAGTGAGTGTAAACATTTAAATATTGCTTGACTTCAACAGCAAAACTTACTGTTAACACTGTCTGTCTGGCTCTTTCTGTAAATGCTGAAGATGATGAGTTCTCTAAGTCAGGTGTAAATGTTGCTCCAACATCTCTGAACTGCAACTGCTTTGTTGTAACAGCCTCAATAGTTGTAGTTGTTACAGTTGTAGTGGTTGTAGGAGTAACTGTGGATGCGTTTGTTGGGGTAGTGATGATTGGTGTTGTAGCATTCACAGGTGTAGTTGAAGCTGTTGTAGACACTGTAGTTGTATTTGTTCCTGGTGTGGTGTTTGTAAGATTTGCTATGGTTGCGTTTGTAGGGGTAGTCATCATTGGTGTTGTAGCATTCACAGGTGTTGTTGAAGCTGTTGTAGACACTGTAGTTGTATTTGTTCCTGGTGTGGTGTTTGTAAGATTTGCTGTGGTTGCGTTTGTAGGGGTAGTCATCATTGGTGTTATAGCATTCACAGGTGTAGTTGAAGCTGTTGTAGACACTGTAGTTGTATTTGTTCCTGGTGTGGTGTTTGTAAGATTTGCTATGGTTGCATTTGTAGGGGTAGTCATCATTGGTGTTGTAGCATTCACAGGTGTAGTTGAAGCTGTTGTAGACACTGTACTTGTATTTGTTCCTGGTGTGGTGTTTGTAAGATTTGCTATGGTTGCGTTTGTAGGGGTAGTCATCATTGGTGTTGTAGCATTCACAGGTGTAGTTGAAGCTGTTGTAGACACTGTAGTTGTATTTGTTCCTGGTGTGGTGTTTGTAAGATTTGCTATGGTTGCGTTTGTAGGGGTAGTCATCATTGGTGTTGTAGCATTCAGGTGTTGTTGAAGCTGTTGTAGACACTGTAGTTGTATTTGTTCCTGGTGTGGTGTTTGTAAGATTTGCTGTGGTTGCGTTTGTAGGGGTAGTCATCATTGGTGTTATAGCATTCACAGGTGTAGTTGAAGCTGTTGTAGACACTGTAGTTGTATTTGTTCCTGGTGTGGTGTTTGTAAGATTGCTATGGTTGCATTTGTAGGGGTAGTCATCATTGGTGTTGTAGCATTCACAGGTGTAGTTGAAGCTGTTGTAGACACTGTACTTGTATTTGTTCCTGGTGTGGTGTTTGTTAGATTTGCTATGGTTGCGTTTGTAGGGGTAGTCATCATTGGTGTTGTAGCATTCACAGGTGTTGTTGAAGCTGTTGTAGACACTGTAGTTGTATTTGTTCCTGGTGTGGTGTTTGTAAGATTTGCTGTGGTTGCGTTTGTAGGGGTAGTCATCATTGGTGTTATAGCATTCACAGGTGTAGTTGAAGCTGTTGTAGACACTGTAGTTGTATTTGTTCCTGGTGTGGTGTTTGTAAGATTTGCTATGGTTGCATTTGTAGGGGTAGTCATCATTGGTGTTGTAGCATTCACAGGTGTAGTTGAAGCTGTTGTAGACACTGTACTTGTATTTGTTCCTGGTGTGGTGTTTGTTAGATTTGCTATGGTTGCGTTTGTAGAGGTAGTCATCATTGGTGTTGTAGTGCTCACAGTTGTAGGTAAAACCACTGTAAATGCCAAAAAATGAAAAGAGGTGTTGCTTGAACAAAACAGTTCTGAGATATTATGAATTAAAAAAATATGATAATATTAAATAGTGCTTACCTGGGTCACTGACAATAACAGACTCTGTGCTAATGTTGAAGGTCGTTATGTTTGGAGCTGCATTGATCAAAACATTTGCAATCTCAGTGTTATTAGGCACTGATATAGATGCAAAGTCAATATCAACGTCACTGATGATGGATCCATTTCTGCAAAATAGAAAACATTGTTTACTTGCATTCAGTTATCGCAAATATTTATAACTATCATAAACATTTGGTATATTGCATCAGTATGTAAAAAATAAATTGCCTGAATCTGATCACTCTCATTGAGCGGAATGAAGGAAATGTTGTCTTGTAGAAAGGTTCGAGCTGCAGAAACACACACAATCACTGATCTTTGAGTGTGTATGCATAAGTGAGTGCAAACATTTAAATATTGCTTGACTTCAACAGCAAAACTTACTGTTAACACTGTCTGTCTGGCTCTTTCTGTAAATGCTGAAGATGATGAGTTCTCTAAGTCAGGTGTAAATGTTGCTCCAACATCTCTGAACTGCAACTGCTTTGTTGTAACAGCCTCAACAATTGTAGTTGTTACAGTTGTAGTGGTTGTAGGAGAAACTGTGGTTGCGTTTGTTGGGGTAGTGATGATTGGTGTTGTAGCGTTCACAGGTGTACTTGAAGCTGTTGTAGACACTGTAGTTGTATTTGTTCCTGGTGTGGTGTTTGTAAGGTTTGCTGTGGTTGCGTTTGTAGGTGCAGTCATTGTTGTTGTAGTTGAAGCCACTGTAAATGCCAAGAAAAGGAAACAAAGTGTTGCTTTAACAAACAGTTCTGAGATAATATGAATTAAAATGTGATAATATTAAATAGCGCTTACCTGGGTCACTGACAACAACATTGGTAATGTTGAAGGCTGTTATGTTTGGAGCTGCATTGATCAGAACATTTTCAATGTCAGTGTTATTTGGCGCTGATGTAGATGCAAACTGAATGTAGATGTCAGTGATGATGGATCCATTTCTGCAAAATCAAGCCAAATATTGTTTTACTTGCATTAATTCTTTGTGTATTATGTATTATATGTAGTCATCAAACAAAAAATAAATTACCGGAATCCAGTCACTTCCATTGAGTTGTATGAAGAAAATGTTTTATTGTAGATCGGTTCAAGCTGCAGAAACACAAACAATCAAAGATATGTGAGTCCATATGCTAAAGTGAATGCATGCATTTAACCACTTTTTGACTTCAAGAGAGAAAACTTACTGTTGTCACTATCAGTGATGATCTATTTTTAAATGCTGGAGATGATGAGATCAGCAAGTCAGCTGTAAATGTCTCTCCAACCGATGCGAACCGCAACAGCTTTGTAAAAACTGGCTCAGCAGTTGCAGTTGTTACAGGTGTAGAAAACAAAGAGGAAGAAAAAAGCAGTTAAAAACAAAGTCATTTTTCATGATGCTCTCTTGTTTCTATACATTGGTAAATCTAATTTAAAGTACTCTTTCTGCTGTTTAGCACATTAAATAATTATGTTTATTTCATCATTCTCTGAGAATGATGAAATAAATAACTACACAGACTATATATCAAACTATATCAAATTGAATGTGATATATTAAATATGAATAGCTATATTGCTTTGTTTAAAAAAAAAATCCTTTGGGAATCACATGTGTGATTTCTGTTTACTCACTGTTTATTTGGGTTGCTACGACAGATGCTGGATTGATACTGATGTTGAAAGTGTTGTTGGGGTTAGACACCGCTTCAACTAAGGTTTGTTGAACAGCTTCAGCTTCTGGGATTTGTGCAGGTGTTATTGTGTTGTTAAACACAACCTGCACTTCTGCTTCAGTATCAGATGCTCGTGTTCTGGTCCCAGCTTGTCTAAAGAAAAAGAAGAAGAAAACACTCAATTCTTAATGAAATATGTTAAATTAACATTAATTATTTGCAATTACTGTTAATAAGATTAGTGTTGTCATAAATGAACAAAAGTAAAAATCTTACCTGAATGCTATGACAATAACACGGCTGAAAAGCAAACCATATCGAGCTCTATAGATGACTTCATACTGTGTGGAGCAAAGAAGTAGAAATTAATTAATTAATTCAAATCAGCTGGAATCTTAACAACACTTCAAAATGAATCTCAGTATTTTACTCACCACTACTACCACTTCTGTCGCAAGTGCTATAAATTCTGGACTAGTTTTATCTTTGAGTTGAGGCACAAAGGGTTTAACCAAAACTGCTGCAAGAACAACAACTGGTGTACGAACTACCGCCACTGCTGCTGCTGTTGTTGTTGTTGTTGTTGTTGTTGTTGTTGTTGTCGTCGTCGTCGTCGTCGTCGTCGTCATCGTCGTTTTTTCTGTTGTTGCCACAGTTGAACCATTTGTTGTTACTGCTGCTGTTGAACCAGTTGTTGTTGCTGGTGTTGAACCATTTGTTGTTGTTGCCGCAGATTGTGTTGTCGTTGCCGCAGTTGAAACAGTAGTTGTTAATCCAGGTGTTGTTATTGAAGCAGGTGTTGTTGTTGCTGGTGTTGAACCAGTTGTCGTTGAAACAGGTGTTGTTGTTGCCGCTGTTGAACCAGTTGTTGTTACTGTTGTTGAACCAGTTGTTGTTGCTGGTGTTGAACCAGTTGTTGTTGAAACAAGTGTTGTGTTTGTTGGAGTTGAACCAGTTGTTGTTGAACCAGGCGTTGTTGCCGCAGTTGAACCAGTTGTTTTTGCTGTTGTTGAACCAGTTGTTGTTGCTGCTGTTGAACCAGTTGTTTTTGAAACAGGCGTTGTTGTTGAAGCAGTTGAACCAGTTGTTGTTGAAACAGGCGATGTTGTTGCCGCAATTGAACCAGTTGTTGTTACTGTTGTTGAACCATTTGTTGTTGTTGCCGCAGATTGTGTTGTCGTTTCCGCAGTTGAAACAGTAGTTGTTGATCCAGGTGTTGTTATTGAAGCAGGTGTTGTTGTTGCCGCAGTTGAACCAGTTGTTGTTACTGTTGTTGAACCAGTTGTTGTTGCTGGTGTTGAACCAGTTGTTGTTGAAACAAGTGTTGTGTTTTTTGGAGTTGAACCAGTTGTTGTTGATCCAGTTGTTGTTGTTGAACCAGGTGTTGTTGTTGCCGCTGTTGAACCAGTTGTTGTTGATCCAGGTGTTGTTGTTGAACCAGGTGTTGTTGCTGCTGCTGTTGAACCAGGTGTTGTTGTTGCCGCTGTTGACCCAGTTGTTGTTGCCGCAGATTCTGTTGGTGTTGCTGCAGTTGAACCAGTTGTTGTTGATCCAGGTGTTTTTGTTGAACCAGGTGTTGTTGTTGCTGCTGTTGAACCAGTTGTCGCTGAACCAGGTGTTTTTGTTGATACAGTTTCTGGTATTGTTGTTGATGCAGTTGAACCAGTTGTTGTTGTTGCCGCAGTTTCTGTTGTCGTTGCCGCAGTTGAACCAGTTGTTGTTGATCCAGGTGTTCTTGATGATCCGGTTTCTGGTGTTGTTGACGCAGTTGAACCAGTTGTTGTTACTATTGTTGAACCACTTGTTGTTGTTGCCACAGATTCTGTTGTCGTTTCTGCAGTTGAACCAGTTGTTGTTGATCCAGGTGTTGTTGTTGCATTAGGTGTTATTGTTGCTGCTGTTGAACCAGTTGTTGTTGCTGTTATTGATCCAGGTGTTGTTGTTGAACCAGGTGTTGTTGTTGCAGTTGAACCAGTTGTTGTTACTGTTGTTGAACCAGTTGTTGTTGTTGCCGCAGTTGAACCAGGTGTTGTTACTGCCGCAGTTGAACCAGTTGTTGTTGCTGCTGTTGAAGCAGGTGTTGTTGAACCAGTTGTTGTTGCTGCAGCTTCTGTTGCTGTTGCTGCAGTTGAACCAGTTGTTGTTGCCGCAGTTTCTGTTGTTATTGATGCAGTTGAACCAGTTGTTGTAGACGCAGTTTCTGTTACTGTTGGGGCAGTTGAACCAGTTATTGTTGCCGCAGTTTCTGTTGTTGTTGCTGCAGTTGAACCAGTTGTCGTTGCCGCAGTTGAAGCAGGTGTTGTTGAACCAGTTGTTGTTGCTGCAGATTCTGTTGTTGTTGCCGCAGTTTCTGTTGTTGCTGCCGCAGTTGAACCAGTTGTTGTTGTTGCCGCAGTTGAAGCAGGTGTTGTTGAACCAGTTGTTGTTGTTGCTGCAGATTCTGTTGTTGTTGCCGCAGTTTCTGTTGTTGTTATTGCAGTTGAACCAGTTGTTGTTGCCGCAGTTTCTGTTGTTATTGATGTAGTTGAACCAGTTGTTGTAGCCGCAGTTTCTGTTGTTGTTGTTGTTGCCGCAGTTTCTGTTGTTGCTGCCGCAGTTGAACCAGTTGTTGTTGTTGCCGCAGTTGAAGCAGGTGTTGTTGAACCAGTTGTTATTGTTGCTGCAGATTCTGTTGTTGTTGCCGCAGTTTCTGTTGTTGTTATTGCAGTTGAACCAGTTGTTGTTGCCGCAGTTTCTGTTGTTATTGATGCAGTTGAACCAGTTGTTGTAGCCGCAGTTTCTGTTGTTGTTGTTGTTGCCGCAGTTTCTGTTGTTGTTACTGCAGTTGAACCAGTTGTTGGAGCCGCAGTTTCTGTTGTTATTGATGCAGTTGAACCAGTTGTTGTAGCCGCAGTTTCTGTTGTTGTTGTTGTTGCCGCAGTTTCTGTTGTTGCTGCCGCAGTTGAACCAGTTGTTGTTGTTGCCGCAGTTGAAGCAGGTGTTGTTGAACCAGTTGTTGTTGTTGCTGCAGATTCTGTTGTTGTTGCCGCAGTTTCTGTTGTTGTTATTGCAGTTGAACCAGTTGTTGTTGCCGCAGTTTCTGTTGTTATTGATGCAGTTGAACCAGTTGTTGTAGCCGCAGTTTCTGTTGTTGTTGTTGTTGCCGCAGTTTCTGTTGTTGTTACTGCAGTTGAACCAGTTGTTGGAGCCGCAGTTTCTGTTGTCGTTGCCGTAGTTTCTGTTGTCGTTGCCATAGTTTCTGCTTTTGCAACAGCAACTGAGCATATGGACAATAACATTTCGTTTTTCCTCTTTCTGAGACCTGTATTATGATTTTTTGTAATGTATTCAGTTACTTACCCAAAATGGTTAACAAAACAGTCAAGCCTCGACCAGCACTCATTGTGGCCTGAAATATTTGACAATGTGCATATTTGTTATAAATTGCAAGTTGTTATTATTGATAAGTGTGTATTCATGGACTTGCTGTTTATTTTTCTCTTTCCAGGCACTTTGCCAATGCATGTTTGGGATCAGTGTCACGGTGAAAAATTAAACTGTTGCCAATCAGACACTTTGCAGATGGTATTGCGTGATTGATCAAAATCTGATAGTACTTTTCTGCATTCATAATTTCATAGGTTTTGACATGATCTCAAACACCATTCACCTGAAATGGACTCAGGTGGATAGGCATAAGTCAAATTGTCTTTGGCATTTTTAGAATATTAAAGAAAATGGAACAAATTTTATTTATTTATTTATTATTTGACAGTAACAAAGTCATTTATACTCCTAGATAAATCTGCCTACATAAGAAGTAGTTGTCTGTTACGCACTGCCTCCACTAACCCCTGCAACCCCCAAAAGTGGAAAATTGTGTACATGGATCTCCAAAAGTTGATTCTGTTCATCTGGACATAGCGTTTTGTGGGAGAAACGTTTCGTCACTCATCCAAGTGACTTCTTCAGTTTCAGCTGACTGCAGGTTTCCCCAATCTTATAAACAGTACATTTGCATAATGACTGACTTTTGGAGATTTACTGTCCTGGATGATTGAGAATGCATCAGGATGTGTACATGGATATTAAAGTGAGACTGGGCTGATGAAAATATGTGTTCTGGGACACAAAAAGAAGGTTGGAAAGTTTCTAATTCAGAAATTTGTGACCAGAAAACAAATCTATATTCTAAAAGTTGTGATATAACAGAAAACAAAGCAACTTCAGTTTATTAATTTAACTTGTTGTTAATTTAAATTGTTTTTTCTAATAATATTATATATTTTGTAGTATATACTATGTCATACAAACTGGAAATAATAATCATGCAATTTTTTTAAACTTTTACAAGGTACTATTTAGATCATTATTAGGAGCCAGTGAAGTAAATTTTTAAGGCTTGGTTTAAGTTTAAAAACACTACCTGCAGTGAGCTTGTATGAAAAAAAAAAAAAAAAAAAAACCCAAATCACAATAGAACTTTTTTTCCATTATTATTTTAGGTTAAATGTAATAAATGAAAATAAATGAAAATAAATGACAATAACTAATGCACAATCAATTTCAAATCAAAATGCCTAGCACAAACTCATTACATATAGATCATAGACATAAAAATGTCCTTACCCCAGGGCTGTAATTCTTAGAATCCTTATTATGCCTCCCCTGTGCCTTTCTGATCTCTTCTGTTGCCAACCGTTTGTTCAGGTGTTATATATTTGCTTCACAAGTATGTGATGTGTACGCACAATTCTATTGAAACGTTTTGAACCAGCAGTTGAAGATGAAAAGATTAAAAAAAAAAAATTTTAACATTCCCGAACAGCATTAAGTCAGGTTCATGAGCCAGTCAGCAGCGTTGTTAGTCACCTTTCCACTGACGTGAACTAATCAGATGTCATAACATTATGTCTTTCACAGACTGACCTCTGATCCTTTGAATTAAAATATTTTGGCTCAATAATCCGAAAAGGCATAAAATATATAACAAGACTTCTGAGGTTAACCGTATATATTTCCACAAATCTTTAACAGAATGCTTCATTAAATTAAAGACAAGCAGACAAGCAGATGATATCTATCTTGTAACTTCATCTTTGGCTTTCACCTTGGAACAGTAGACAAGTATTTTCAAAATGCATTCAGTACACATTGCAATGTTATCTTTTTAAACAATCCACTGACTATCAATGTGAGATCTACTGGCCAAAAATGAAACCAGAAATGCACAAAATCCCTGTCTTTATGTTTGTCTGTTTCTCTTCATGTTCACCTCCTTGGGAGCTGAACATCTAAGTCTCTCAAACAGCTACATCTTATCCCTGGAAGGTTCCTATTCATATCAGACATGATGGCATCTTCATTATGTAGAGCTATAGGTATTTTATGCACCTAGAACACCCTATAAAAGCATCATACCATTTTCATTTGATGACAATAGTATCACATTTATATACACAAAACAGGATTTTTATATATATATATATATATATATATTTATATATATATATATATATATATTGGATATATTACAATGCAACACATTGCCTGGCATTCACCTTACTATAGACTAAAATGACAGTCTATAGTGTTTGCGTGGGTTCCCTCCGGGTACTCCGGCTTCCTCCCACCGTCCAAAGACATGCAGCTTGTGGGGATAGGTTAATTGGATAATCCAAATTGCCACTAGGTGTGAATGTGAGTGTGAATGGTTGTCTGTCCCTATGTGTTAGCCCTGCGACAGACTGGCGACCTGTCCAGGATGTACCCCGCCTTTCGCCCTATGACAGCTGGGATAGGTTCCAGCGCCCCCCGCGACCCTGAAAAGGATAAGCGGAAGCGAATGGATGGATGGATGGATGGATGGATGGATGGATGGATCTTGCTTTTCCCAGTTCTAGCTTCACTTGGTTCTGGTTAGTACCCCTGTTTTCCATCCCCTATTAGTTTGAACCCTCCTGTTACATTCTGATCTTTCTCGGTGTGTTTGTTACTCTGCTGTCAGTTCAGCTCAGGAAATCATAGAATTCATCCTAGGCACCTTATTTAACATAATTGTTTAACATTTTGTTTATTTTTCATGTAGAGTGCTGTGTGGCAGGCAGAAGGGAGGTGGACCCAAAATGCAGGACTCTTGGAGACAGGACTTAAACTCAAAACACAGATTTATTGCTGGAAATCACCCTACATAAGAATGTATTTCACAAAAGAAAAACAAAACCTCAAACACGAAACTAGACTTGACTGGACTGGAGAAACAAAAACTAGAAAAAACAACCAGGACCATAACAAGACCACACAGCAAAATGAGAGCACAATACGATAAAGGGCAAAGGCAAACGCAGGGCTTAACTAAACAGTGGAGTAATCAGGGAATTGGAGACAGGAGGGAAACACAGCTGGGAGAAATTACACCTTAGGAGACAAGGGAAACAAAACTAGAAACACTGAAACGAGACAGGCTTTCAAAGTAAAACAGGAAACATGACAAGCACAGACTTGACACTGAACTAAACCTGCACTAAACACAAGGGCACAAGAACAAAACCTAACTCTACCTAACTAAACTCTTAACCAGAATTGAACTGAAACATAAAATAGTAGTAATCAAAACAGCACAACTAGAGAATCAGAGCATAAATCATATAGAATAATATCAAAATATCAAGAAACTGAAAATGCTGAGTCATAATGAACCAGAACCATGGAAATTTTGTTTATTAGGTTTGTTGTTTTATGAAATAAAACCAAATCATTACTACAGCCACACAAACAATATTTCAAATTCATGTTGTCATTTTTAACAGTTGTCAAAAGTGAAACAAAATAAATATATTTTTAAGGGGTTTTTGTAAGCCAGTTTAACTGGAATCTTGTATTATCTGTTTTGGTAAGCTCCATTCTTCCACAGACCTGTACAAAACTGTTCATTGATTTAACTGGTTCTTGCTTTGGATAATAAAAATCTTCTTGTAGAGTATTCATATCTATCTATACTGAAATCTATTTTTTTATACAAAATGACTGGACTCTTTGTAATAATAATATTTCTAATAAATACAAAGAATAAATCAATCTGTATTTTACAATCAACCAATTAAGACATGTATGCATTCTGACAATATTAGTTCATTCATGCTGCTCTGTTTTGTACCATTTGCAATTTCTTAATCTGTTCCATTGTACCACCAGGCCATACTGGGCAATAATCAGGATTAGACAAAATCAGTGGCTGAACTAATTGCCACTAACAAATTGTTATTCCTTTTTTCTATAAACCTATATCAATGTTAACTTGTGTTGCTAAGTCTGTCATCAAGATGCTTATATTTTAATTTTCATTCATAATCTGTTAATGAAAGGCTCGACATTTATCGCAATTTATATTTGCCATTGTATATATCTCAAGAAAAATCTCAAGAAAAATACCTCAAGAAAAATTCCTAAAGACGACTTAAAGACTACTTAATGAAATTTCCGGAAAACTCGGCTAAGAGAAATTTAGGTTCTGTTGTTGTCATACCAGACATTGATTTTCAAGCTCAATGTACATCTTTTTGCCTCATATACTGTATTTCTTTTTAGGTTTGTACATCTTTCAATAAATCACTACACATGTTATAGTGATATTTTATGGTTGTCATTTGTACTTAGAAACATATAATCAATAATGCTTAGAAATATATAATCGATTGTATATTGATAGAATGTCTCATCCTTAGTAGTCTGCACTCTGTGTGCTTTCCAGAGTGTTCTGGCATACAACAAATGTCCAAGAGAGGTCGTACCTTCTCGTTCTATTTTTTGCTCGTCCCCGTTTTGTGAGTGTGGACGCTTCCTCTCTTTGCTCTTTAAATGCTTTGCTTCTTTTGTTGATTTTTATTGATTTTCATGCTGATATTTTCCCCATATGAGCTTACCTGCGATAGCTTCTGGACACTTATAGATCATTAGGACTAAAGGGTTCTTTTTTTTTTTTTTGTCCATTTGATTGACCTTTATTATAATTATGAATTTATTTTATATTCTGTTGCTACAAATGGGACAGACATGACTGGGGGATAGGACAGGGAGAAAGAATGAAAGAAAGAGAGGGAGAGAAAGAAAACCAAAGGGGAGAAGAGACGGTGAGAAATGGGGGGAAGAAAGAAAAAGAAAAAGAAAAACAAACAAAACACCTGGATCACCTGTATGGAGAAAAAAAACAGAAGAGAAAGCAAACAACAAAGAGCAACATAATAAAAAAAGAAAAAAAAACTGAAGAGAAAGCAAACAAAAAAAAGAGCAACATAATAAAAAAACAGCACCATCACAATAAACTAGCTAGCAGTAGATATCAGTAGATACTAAATAATAAACGATATTGTGCAGCACGCAAGATAGACAGCGCACAATGTGCTTTGAGGCAGCAGCCAAGAAAGGTGTAGTCTGCGTCTGTGAACACCCGTGTGTACACCTGTGTGCATACCTGTGTGGATCAGCATGCTTGTATTCCAAAGGTTTCTCCATGTAACGATCTGCTAGGGAGTATTGGGAGCCATAGCCCCGTCCACCAGGGTATGAAGCAGGTATGGAGGAGATCCAGGCCCCAGATATCCAGAGGCCCCAGAGTACAAGGACCCGAGGAGGACCACCAAAGGGGGGGGAACCGTGCCACCCTCCTGGGAAGAGCTGAGTAGAGCCCCAAAGGAGAGGTCACCCGGCAGCTACGGAGCAGAGGCCAGAGGGGGTTGCAGTGGCGTGCCCGCGAGCTCTGCCGGAAGCCAGCTGTGCCAGAGAGGACCGAGCTTCAGGCCCAGAGGCCAGAGGCCTGAGGGCATCCCACCCCCCGGAAGGAGCCCAGCCGGGCCACAGGCGCCAGGAGTGAGCTGGTACATACATGAGCGCCCAGCCCCAGACGACAAGGACCACCAACACACCAACGTCTGAGGGCATCAGCCACCGGCAGGGAGTGTGGTGAGGGGAGATAGGCCTCCGTACTTTAGAGGGCCTGAGATGTACCCAGAGAGGTTGAGTCTAAGACCCAACCTGACATATAGACACAGACGAACAGGCACACGCGGACACAGACGTGCATTCCCACCCCATATGCACAACCAAATACTCGGCACTCACCCAACGTGTAGACAGACACAAATAGACACTGCACAGACAGTCGCACTCCCCAAACATACTCTATATCCCAGGTCCAGGTATCCCCGCCCTCAGAGGGGCAAGCCGCAGCTATACCCAGGAGATGTAACCCTTCTCTCTGGGGTGGAGGCAAGCGGACCACCTCCTTATCTGCAGTAGCAGGGAGGCCCCGCATCCCAGACCCCAGTCTGACGGCCAGCACCTCCTCCCAGCCTAAAGGACTGACTATCTAGGACTAGGACTAAAGTGTTCTTAACAGAAACAGCAACATTTTTATAGTTACCTTATCGTCAGCGCTCCCTGTGTCTGTGGCCTACACACAGCTGAAGCCTGATTACATCGTCTGGGCACCAAACAGCCTCAATAGCCTGGAAAGGTGCTAACCACTAGGCTAACTAGCAACAAGATGCCTTCCCTCTCCACAGATGACTACCACAGCCTCCTGCAGAAGATTGTAGTACTGGAGACAAAAATTCATCGCTTAGAAGTAAACGTGGAGGTAAATGGACTGTGTGGAAATGAAACAACCTTG